TACAGGTTAATATTTACCTTCTCAGGCTATTTCTATACCAGTTGGATTTGCAATGCCTCTAGCAATGGCCTCATTCTGATCTACATGAAGGATAAATTCCATGTACTGATCACAGATTGTGTTTCCTTTATTTACTGCCTTATTTTTTTGATTCTGCTGAATCCTTTCATGGCCTAATGCTCTCCAGGTGAACTCTGCTGCAGAAGGATTTTGTTGTGCACAGTACATACAGTACTAAGGCACCCCTAAGGCCTCTAAGTACTGCCTAAACACATGTCATCTACCACATTCAAGCATTACCTTTTTCCTAGAAAGCACTGTTCCCAGCAGCAGGGACTTCTTCACCAGGTGAACAGAGTCAATATTCTGCTTCTTGTTAGGAAGACTGAACACAAGATAGCAGATCATTAGAGATCTTTGGCAGAACAATTCAACAAAAATTAATTAATCGTGTCCTGCTCTAAGTGGACATTGTTGCCAATGTGACATCTAAATCTGGGCAACTCTAGGAAATTCTCTGCAATGATAATCCTTCATCCTCACTGGAAACTGGATTTCTTAATACACATATCCTATCTGTGTTAGTCTTCATGTGTGTTAGAATTCACTACCTATGGTCTCTCAGACATCAGGCCAAGTAGAAAGGTGCTTAGCATCATCCTGAAAAATGTATTAGCCTTTTGGGATACCAGTAAGGTTGTAGAGATCTGATATATAATTCCAGCCCATGCCTCCAAGATTAACATGTGTAAAAGAGTTCAGTCATCAAGAAGAGATGATTAAAGATCCTGGCTAATTCTATCTGCCTCACACCCGTCACACCAGTCCCATTTCCTACACTTTATTAATGAGTGCACCATTGGAAAATCTGTTATCAATGTTCTTATTATGCAAAGGTCACAGACTGCATTAGCATTTGCAATACACCAGGTTTTTTCTAGAGGCTGTGCAAGTCAGTCACTTGCCAGACAAGCTACCGTGTACAGAACATCTTTCTCACATTCACTCCTGCTCAGACTCGGAGCAGAATCTATGAGAAACCAAGAAATTCATGAGCATCAAGAAGTCAATATTATCCATATTGTTCACATCTCTTCTGTAACATCAATTTTCTACAAAACATCTGTCTACAGAGATCTTAAAAGTAGCACAGCCGTCAGCATGTTTCAACAAATTTTCATGTTTGTTTTCATGATGTGATTTTGTGCCTGCCACCAAGTTCTCAAGCAAATGTCACTGCTGTTCCCAAAGCAGCAGAAACTCTACTCAGAAGACAAATAGGGAAGGAAAATACAACAGGTTTTTTTTGTAGTTAACAAACTTTACAGAACTCTGAGGTCAAAGGATGATGACATTCAGATCTTGATAATGAACATGACATTTTCACAGTTACATTATCTTCTCTAAATGTCAGAACACTGTACTCCAGTCACAATATATCAGTGCACTCAGAGAGGATCTGGTCTTCCATTCCTTCCCATTGGTTTTGTACCAGTTTGACTTCATTTACATTCACAGAATTGTAAATTTTTAAAAATGTTTAAAAGAGAAATAAAGCACAAGGATGGAACCAATAATGATTTCTGAAATTCTGCAGGGAACATTTCCCTACATAAGGTATCTTAAACCCTGTAACAGTTGTAAAGTCGATTATACTTGAGGAAGAAATCAACTCAGCCGTTCTCTAATATTTCAGACAGTACAATATCTGGGGCTCTTCTCAGATATAAACCAAAACTGGCACTTTCCCTGGTACCTGGTGCCTCCATAAGTGACCCTGAAAATTTGAACTAGATTTGCAGAAAGACAAACAGGTAAGCAGAAAATGAAAAGAGCAAACCAAAAAAAGGAATCAACCCCCAAATATTGATTCAGCTCCCTTCAGCGCAATCAATTCAGAAACTTTAGCTTTTTGCTCATAATGCTTGTTTGAAAATATCAGGCAGCTGTGGGTACGTGAACAGTTAGGGGAACTATATTGCTAAGATCATTTGTCATTACACTTCTTTGTACATATGCAAAACCTCTTAGTGAAGCTAACACAATCTCCACCACCCCTCCAGCACAGCCGGCCAGCCCTCATGCTCAGTTGGGAAGGCTGTCCTGGTGGGGATGCAGAGAGATGCTTTTTGACCTTCTCCATATAGACACAGCAGACTCCAGCCCTCCCATACCTCTTAGGCTGAAAATATCCATCTGCTTGACTCTGTCACACATGGGAAAGCTGTGTCCCTGCACACTTGTCATCTTGTCATTTACAGATCAGCAGACTCACGGAGGGCCAGGGGAAGCAGAAAGACATGTGAAGATTATGCTGTTAATGCTCTGTGGCTCTGCAGGATGCTGGGTTATACCACCTCTGTGGCTGCTTTTGGCTGCTGTTCATGTACCTCACCCCCTTGTCAGTGAAATGCAGGGGAAGATTTTCACAGGAAATATTCCTCATCCCAGTCTCTCTTGTTTTGTAGTTTATCCTAGTTAAACTTCTTTCTCCAAAGCTATTTCCATGGACATTTTAGTTTCATTGAATGGATATATTAATGTCGAAGTGCAGTCTTTGAAACACATGCTCCATCACAGGCCCTTGCATGTGAATTCTCACACGTGGGCCCTTCTGCCTTTCCCTCCATTGGCCTCCATGTGAGCAGAACGAGCAGACCTGGGTGCTACAAGGATGGCAGTGAACCAGATTGGGCAGCACACCTGCAGCCCAGCTTGTGGCACCATAGACAGCCGGCTATGACAATCATGTGGGGACAGGCAGGGAAACCCACCGTTTGATACAGAGCAAAATTGCTTGAGCTACATAGGCCCACAAGAGCTGTGGCTATAAAGCCATGCCCAAGCTAAAGGCCAAAGGAGTAAATTTACTTTCCATAGTAAGTTCCATGCATTATGTGGGAGAAGCTAATAACCCAGCCTCTCTAACACAATTTCTCTGTCTTGTTCTATTTCACACATTTGTTTCTTATTTTTCTAATTTTTTCCTAAAATCCAAGTAATTATTAAAATTGCTTGGAAAGAGCTGGAGTACTTCCTAGTACGTCAAGTTAAAACAAAACAATAATGTTCCAAACTAAAGAAGAGAAATGCAAGAAGTTAAAGTCCATAATGATAGATAGCTTAAAAAAAACAATATGGATTTCATCAGATATAACTCTAGTTAATCTTTAACCATGTTCTTTCAGACAAAAATAATCTTTACTTCAACTGGATCAGGACCGGTTACAAAGCTTTGTTATTTTTGGTAGTGATTGTTGTAACTGTAGCAGAAAAAAAACAGCTTTAGTAATTTAAATGGCATTTCAAGCATTTTTAAAAGCAGAGTTTATTTTTTACATTATTGAAAATTCATTAGTTATTCATTTAATATTGCTTGAGGAAAGCTCTAAGAGTAGTCTTCTAAGACTGTAACTCAATATATGAATTAGATGGTGTTGTCGAAGTATAAACATACTACAGTTTGCATTGTAAACTCACGTGGCTTTACAGAAAGGCTTTCAAACGTGTGAGATGGCACAATATATTTAGGTAGCCATAGGTAAGTGCATATAAAGATCTCTAGAAATCCACCTATTAACTTATTTTAGATGTAAAGCTTTATCATGGTTGCAGAGAGGCAAATACATTTAACATTATTTTCCCACAGTCCTAACTCCCCCTTTGCTGAACTATCTTCTTTAAAGTACATGAAAGTAAACTTGAGTCAAAACTCCAAACATCAAGAAACATCCTTGTTAAGGCTGTCAGGCAGGATAGGCACTGAATGAAAATGGCTCCATTAGCAGCTATGAGTTACAAAAATTAGAGAAGCCTTTCAAAGACAGTGAAGGGAAAGAAGAAGCAGAGAGATCAAAGAGAAGAAAACACAGGAGCAGGCTAGATTTTCTCAGTGGTCTGCAATTGTATACAAAAGGCACTGAATATTATAGGGATATAAATGTTTAGTTAGTACAGAGCCACACTCTCCCTCTGACTTCCATGTAACCTTCCTACCCATATCAATGGCTAAGAACTTTGTGCTTTGGAGAATTCACTGGCCTGATTTTATAGTTGTGGCTGCATGAATTATATTTTGCATAATCAAATTGTGGCTTTCATTATCACAACATGCCACAGACATCATATGCATAAAAAGATTTAAAATAATTAAACAAATCTATGCAGAGAGGATCTATCAATGACTATTAAACATGACTAATACTTGATCTATTGATTGCAGAAGCTAAAAGGACAAACCAGAAAAAGGAGCAATGTGTACCTCTAATGTTTCTCCATGCACCACTATTTACCACTACTTGATAAAATCCCAGATTCAGTAAGGTTAGAAGGGACTTGTGGAGATAATCTACTCCAACATATCTGCTCCAAGCAGAGTGAAGAGGTTGTTCTCAAGTGGGTTTTGAATATCTCTTCAAGAAGGGTGACTCTAAAGTCTCTGGGCAACTTTTTCCAATGTTTGACCACCTTTAACAACTAGAAAGCTTTTTCTTATGTTTAAACAGAATTCCCCACTTTTCTAGTTGTGCCACTGCCTCTTGTCCTCTCACTGGATACCACTGAGAAGACTCTAGCTCCAACTTCTTTATTCCCTCCCATGAGGTACAAACACTGATTAGGACCCCTGAGTCTTCTCCAGGATAAAGAGTTTTAACTCTCTAAGCCTTTCCTCATAAAGAAGATGCTTCAACTGCTTAATCATCTACATGGCCCTTTGTGGATTTGTTCTGGTTTCTACATCATATTCCTACACTCCTCCTTCTTGTCTTCCCATGCAGCTATCCCACCATGTTGCTGTGATCACCATGAGATTTAACCCAGCAGTTAGATGCAATGCTATAATTCCTCCTTTTTGCTCCCCATGGAGCATGCAGCCACATAGAGGCACTCCAGAGAGGTATTTTGTCATGCTGATTTGGTGGTTTAGTTCAATCTTTGGTTTGATCCTGTAAGGATGCTGATGTGGATTAACCCAGATGTTCTCTCATTCTGCCCTGTAGGTGGAATAGGGGAGTGAATCATAAGAGTAAATGTGTGACAATGTGTGAGTTGAGATAAAGACAGTTTAATAGTTAGAAGAAGAAGAAGAAGAAGAAGAAGAAGAAGAAGGAAAATATAACAAATAAAAAGGTGAATCCCAAGAGAGAAAACTGATGCAAATGAAAAGAGATGCTCACCACCCACTGACTATTGCCCTGCCAGTCCCAGAGAAGCAGCTGCCCCGTGGCCAACCTTGCCTCCTAACTTTATAGCTGAGCATGACACCACATGATCTGGGACATCATTTTGGTCAGTTGGAGTCAATTGTCCTGGCTGTGCCCTGTCTCAACTGCTCGCACACCCCAAGCCCACTCACGGGTAGGGTGGGGTGAGGAACAGAAAAGGCTTTGGCTCTGTGCAAGCCCTGCTCAGCAGTAACAAAAACATACATGTGTTATCAACACTGTGTCCAGCATAAATCCAAAACACAGCCCCATACCAGACACTGTGAAGAAATTTAACTCTATCCCAGCCAAGATCAGCACAGCTACTCATAAACCAGCACTCTGAGGTTTTACCCTTTCCAGGTAAAAGCTGCAGATAGTTACCAAAAATCATTGCCAATAGGTAGGGAACAAACCTTATAAGGTCATGGTCCAATGCCTTGCTCCCAAGTATGGTCAAATATTGCTCCCGAGAGACTTTTTTTAATATATTAAGGTGCGCAGTAGTTTCAAATATCAATTATCCCACTAAGTGTTTGTCTCTCCTTAACATTTTTACTTCTCCATAGTATTTAACATAATTAGTCTTTGCTTCAGCTAAAGTACAAATTCTCATTGTTACTCTCATTCCTTTAATTTTCTTTTCATTTGCTGTGATTTCCTGTCCCCCGACAAGTCCGGCTGCTTTCCCTGGGACTCTATCCAAGCAGGCCATCTTTTTCTTCATGTGCTTCCTCAAAAACTGACATAATAGAGCAGCAAGGCCTGCCAAACACAGAAAGTACATTAAAGATCTTTCAGATGTCACTTGCCCTGTTTGCAGCAACATCCCATCATGTACTCCCATTTACTCTGTGACTTCTAAACGACAAGATTGCAAAATCCTTCAGGCTTGTAAAATATTTACAGGCCCAGTTTACATCCTACTTGAAGACATCCACAGTGCAATGCCTGATGGAAGAAAGTGGTACTAATGGTCTTGGAACAGAAAAACATCTCAAAAAGGCTGTCACTCAGAAAACTGGTAGATCACAGAGAAAATATGGCACAGGCAGGAGAGGACATGTTCCTTCTACACAGCAAAACATTTCTGTTTCCCAAAAACTATTGCACCATGAAGCACTCCACCCCAAAGAATTCCTGCCTTTCTCTGAAGTGAATCTAACAATATCATCTTGCATGAACATAGTGTGCAATACCTGTTTATCTTCTATGCTATTGTTGAAGATAAAGCCCACAAGATTCGCCCTCAAAATAAAATCTGTGTGTCACAAATTAGAGCAAGCAATTTTTCATTATGAATAACCTGTGTTTTTTCCATGACTCCTTACTGACAGAACTTACAGTTCCTCTGTTTCTTTCAAAGAGAAAATGTGTTCGGTCTACTTTCCCTGGCCTGAACTCCCACTAATTCAGGGTAAGAGCAATGTGAAGCAGAGATCACTCATTCAGTAGTAGGCAGTACCCAAATGGGAGAAGCCAAGGTGACTCTGGTTATATTAAAACGGGTTCACACTAGAAGATGGATGGAAGTTGCTCTCCTGACTCCAGGGGCTTCCAAGCACAAAGGCTGATAAAAGTCAAGGATGTAACAACATTTCTTGAACATTGTTTAAAAAGGTTTTCAAGTTGTGCTTTTTATTAAGTAGATCCAGTTTGTAAGATCAGAGGTCAGAAAAGCATTTAAAATTATAGATAAATATATAGCTCAAAACTTCTGTTTCCATATGTATATGGACATAGGAATTGTTTCATGAGCATGCTAATGCCACTGTCTTCTACCAGTCTTCAGGAAGTGTAATATTTCTGAAAGCCAGACATATCTAAGCTATTTTAAACACATTCAATTAGGTCACCTTGTTTTTTAATGATAATTTTCATTTTCTCCTTTGATGTGGCACATAAGTAAAACTTCCCTTCTGAGCAGCAGCTCAAATAGGTATTAGAATTATAGTCAGAGCAAGCATAAAAGACATAAATAAAGGGAAATAACACATATATTAAGATTCTGAAGAGAATTATTAATCTTACAAAGACATTCTACTATTCAGGCCTTGATTCTGGAACTGAGCAGTTCTGTTCCTTCTGATGATTAGGTAGGAGAGCAAGGTAAGGTGTTTACAAATGGAGGTTACCTTGAAGGGAAATCCTTCTTTGTAATTAGGTCCTCTGTTCCAATAACAGCTGTTACAGATTGCCAAAGCCATGGTATTTATCAGACACCTGCAGATTTTTCTGTCATGGAGGAAAGGGAAGGGAATTTTAAAGTACTACAGTTGATACTTTACCCTAGGAACAGAACAGACAGTGATATCCATCAGTCTTTAAATCCCCCTGTTTACTGTACCACTAGACTTTATGTAATGTTGTTTTTCTTCCTGAAATGGGTCTGCCAGTGACATGAAATGATCACAATGTAATATCCTAAATGTTTTCATCATGTGTAATTATTTATTTTCATGCCTTTTTGAAATCCTAGGCAGACTGCCGACTTGATGATCATGTTTTCCCCCACAAAATACTTAACAGACAAGAGACAAAAGCTTTAGAAAGATCAGAAATAGAAATGTTTGCATAACCTGCCACTTGAATAATGAGAAAGCAAGTGCTATATCTTATTAGAAAAAACACAAGCTTTTCTTGTGCATGGCTTTTAATTAATTCTTTGCTATGAATCTTTATCAACTAATTAGAATACTAATTACAAACAGAAAACAATTACACAAAAAAAAAAAAAAAACAAAGAAAATAAGGAAAATGCAAGCTTTCTGAATTAATTTTTATTTTATCTTAGAAAAACCTGGCAAAAAGTTAACATGTAATTTCAGATAATGTTACTAATTTAATTTAATTATTCTAGCATGGTGGTTATATTAATCCAATTTACAGCAAATTGCAAATAAATTTACAGTATAGGATTTTAGACTCAAAGGATAGAAATTATTAATAGCATCACAATCCCATCTTTTTTTTTTATAAAGCTATAATGTGAATACATGAAAAATGTTCTGAAAATTTTCATAACAGAAGGATAATTCTGAAATCTGCCATAAGGGTGGATAAAATTACATGACTTGTGGAGGATAAAGATGGTTTCTTTAATACCACAGCATGAAAAATGCTCTTTTATCTACTCTGCAAAAAGAGAGACACCCTAAAAGTGTGCTCCCTGTGGTCAGATTATTTTACCATTTGGGTTGAATTAATTTGACTTTGATAGTCAGCTGTGGATAGGCATAAAATGAAACCTTTGCTTTTTTCCTGAGATTTCAGGTGTACTCAACACCTTCTGCATACTCCTTCAAAATATCTTTTGTAGTAACCAAATTACACTTTGGTCTTTTCTCAGTCATGGTTGAAAACACCAATAACTCCCAAACCCAGGACATGGCTAATGTGCACAGGCAGAATGCAAAAGAACTTGTACAGGTTGGAGAGAAAACTCTTCCAGACACAGTATTAAATAGCTAAATCATCTGGGCAGAATTCATGTCAGTGACAGGTTGTAAGGCACTTGTCCCAGTCTCAGCTGGTCTCTCTAAATTACCACTGTGAAGTCATACTGACATTTTGCCAACTTCATTTCTTCCCAGTCTTACCAAAATAACTATTGTAATGGAGAGCAACCTGTAATGGAGAGCATTCTGTATATGCTTTGAAACTCCTTTTGAAGCTGTACCTTTAAGTAATACTGCAGGAAGCCTGAAAAATACCCTACTGTTATTAGCCCCAGGAACTCTTGCAACTTAGGGGGTTTAATCAGTCCTAGGAAGAGCTTCTATGGCTACATCAGCAAAACACACACACACACACANAAAAAAAAAAAAAGGTAAGTAAAACCGTGTAATATTTTCATAAGACAATTTTGGGCAGGGATTAATACACTTTTTGTCAAGCTTTCTCTCTTTAAGTCCTTTCTTCCCACCTACACTTTCACAAACACTATATCTCTTTTCTACATTCTCAAGTTGTGAAAAATGCCAATCACTTGGTTTTTAAAATTTTAAAAGTATAATAACAATAAAATGGTTATAAAAATAGTAATAATACAATTAGAGTAATAAAATTTAGAGTTAGGACAATTACAAGACAATAACAAGCAAAGAATTACAGACGTCTGGATGCTCTCAGACACCAAGTCACAAAAATCATGTTTTGTGAACAAAGGAATCACCCTTAAAAATCATACATTGTTGCATATTCATACATCCTTTATGGTTATGCATACATTCTATTTAAAACAAGAACCTCTGTCTGCTATATGTCAACTATTTCTTTCAATCCCCATCACGTCTTTGAGTCTGAACAAGGCCTGAAGAAATTAGCTTCTTCTGATAAGAGAACCATAAATTCCTCTTCTCAGGAAGATTTAGGTGTTCTGTGACTGTTTTCTCAAAGCCAGTATCTTGTTCCTTAAAAAAAAAACCCACATACATACTTTCTATTTTAACTACTAAAGTTTCATTTTAACTACAGAACTACATTTACCATACTATTAAAATGTTAATACAGCACTTCTAATCAATATAACATAGTATATATAGTATTCAATTTAATATCTGTGAAAAGCCAATCATAAAATATGCATTTTTCACACAAATAATATCCCTCAAGACCACATCCAGAAACTACTGAAACAACCTGTCTTACCTAATGGCATTCCTCAACTGCAAACTCCATGCAGAACCACATCTGAGACAGATGGTTTTCAAAAGCACCTGGAAAAAAAACCCAACAAACCCACACACAAAACTGCACTTTCAAACCAATGTGTGGGTCCTTTCCTGGACTCATCAGCAACTCCAGAAAAACAACTTGATTTGAATTTCTAAACATATATCCAGAACTCTTAGACCTATGACTTGCTTGGAAGGACTGAAAACAACTGAC